ATAAGACTGTTATGATTTAAATTCATGAACAGATGGCGACATTTACCTCCATAAAAATAGTCGAAAACTTATATTAACAACATAAATTGATAGGCTATAAACTTTAGCCAATATATTATATACTGGCTAAAGTTTAAAGGCTATCAATATATACGATCACCAACTGGACATTTTACCACTCCTTTTCATTGAATGCATAGGGCGTTAACAAGACATTCAATAACTGTTAATCAGAAAAAAAAAATTCTCCAGTCTAGACAGAGACTGGAGACAGAGATTCCTATCTAATGAGTAGCAGCTCAGGTGTTTGTGCCACAAAGTTGTATTTCAACAACATGCCCACCTTCAAGTGAAGCATGAGCTTCCTCTTGTTTTGCCTTTTTTCTCCTCTTGCTCGCTCCTGGCTCGTGATGTCTTTTGGACGACATGTCGACAACTCTTCACCTGCTGCAGCTCTGCAAGTGCCTGCCGGCGCACCCCTCTGATTGGTCAGATGTCGAGTGCTGTCAATCACTGCAGTGACACATGCGCGGTCAGATGACAGGTCTCTTCTCTCCTGATTCTACGCAGGCCTCACGGTAGCGCATATGTGCATCTATTGCACATATGCGTCCCCTCGTGCAAAATGTGGCCCCACATTGAAGATGAGGCCCTACGCACAGCGCGTGTTCTGCGTTTAGGGAGGGGCGGCCCTGGTACAAGATTTCGCTCCATTACAACTCACAAGGTTCACTGACAACTGTCTCATACTAAACACATTTTCCAATTAAGTACAACATGCTAACGGTATTAGCATGAGCCTATGCTTATTTTTTACATTGTATAACTTGTATAAATTAGCCTAGCGACAAGTGGAGATTTCCTCTGCTCATATGAAGCCAGGATAAATCACACACCAGACTTAAAATGTTACTTTTGTGGAGGTTTTAATTTCTTCATTATTTATTGTTTCTTATCTGTGAAATTAAAGTAAATAAGAGCTTTGTTTCCACTGAGAGAAATGGTTTCAGCTTACGAAAATAGACAGGAGGTCTGCGTCGACATGTAGTTTCATTTCTGGTGAGGTGCACGTCAGACTAGGGTTTTAAAAAGTGTTGCTGGAGAACTTGTGTGTGAGTTAGTGGGGCAGAGCTGTGCAGAGTGTGAGAGAGGAGAGATGCACACTGGCATGTATGTAATGCAACTTGACCCTATATTGATATAAACAGTGTTGTCTAATTCTATATCTTGCTTGTAAATAGATTGTTATATCATATATAGACATTATATCACCCAGCCCAAGAGTGAAATCATTGAGTTGCTTTGATTCTGGGAAAAGATTTGGTCAAAGTGAGCCTCTGAGGGACCACATGAGATCTCATACAGGAGAAAAACTATGAAGCTGCTGTGAGTGTGGGAAAAGA